ACAAATGTTCTGTTGTCAATATGGATGCTCCAGAAAATGTTCACTTCTGGAGCACCCCGCTCTTATTACCTCGCAAGAAAATTCTAGTGATATCATTCCTTCAATCAGTGCATGCGGCGTTTAAAGATGCTAACAATGCATACTAGTTTGAGTAGGTGCTATCTCGAGTCATTGTACGTAAACCAGCCCTTTCTCTCTTTGATTCTATACACGCCATCACTTTCCATTTCCAAGGATAGTTTTTGCTGAACGTAAAGGTGAACAAGAAAACATTTCTCTGAGCTCATTAAAATCTGTCAGGTTCTCTTCTTCTAAGAAGCGCCATCAGGATGTCGCCCACTAGGAAGTTTCGCGAAGTTTAATGGAGTGGGAGCTCGGCTTCCCGCTTTAGAGGGAGATACACTCAGGAGACATTTAATTCCAAATGTATGAGGAATACGGTACATAAACTAGGTGGACCCGTGCGAACATTCCAATCGCCAATCATTATTGTTTTAAAAGTGAAAATAGCGTTTTGTATGAACCCAAATTCCCACATTTTTCACAACCCGTACTTCGAAGTCGCAGTACCCTCCAAAAAAGAAATGTAACATCCGAAAGAATCTTTTGTATTCTAAGATATAAAAGATCGATAGTTCCAAAAAACAGTAGCAGTATCCCAGATCCATGTTACTGTAACAAGTTCCATTGTTACAGTATCATGGATCTGGTATACTGCAACTGTTCTTTTTTTCGTGTATATAAATGACTAAACCGTCGAATTTCCTTGGCTTATTATATTTGGATGTACGAGTAGAAAGAACATTATTTTTCAATAGATTAAATGTTACGATACATCGAATAATTACATTGATCATTGCGTGTTTTTGGGGGCGTCAACTATAGTCATTTGTCGAGTGCGTGGTATTGACATAGCACACGATTTTATCACTGGAGGTGGCGGTGATCTTCACCTTGCTAGATGGCGCGATCCGGCGCCACTCTCCACGTCGTCTTGCGGAAATTTCTTCATCCAGATGTCTCCCAGCAACGGAGCACCGCTCCAGCCGAGACAAGCTCTAAGTTCCCAATGTGTGGTAGTAAGTGTAAGTGAGTGTAAGTAAGGAGTGAGGGACGAATGAGGATAGGAAAAGGAAGAGAAAAGAAAGATCACGCGCGATGCTTGGCGGCCTGGTCTGTTACGCCCAGCATTTGCCTGGTGTTGGTCGAAAAAACGAGAAGACAAATGTAATTGTTGTGATATAATTCAATATCTAACAAAGAACTGAAATATAAGATTTGTTTCACCGTATTTTGTAAACTTCCTATAAAAATCGGCGAGAAAATAACCAAACTCCCCGCATCTCTGAAGTCAGGCTAGCGTCATAATGTATCAGACTACTTAACCCAAAGTCGTGCGTTCTTTTTGTTTCTCAATTTCAAAAAGCGAAAGAATTGTAATGTAATTTTAAGAAAGTGTACAAAATATTTTTTTCACATTACTTCTTTTTGTATGTTACTTCTTTTTCCCTTCCCTGAATTTTAGGTTCTTCAATACACTCCCCTCTCTTGGAGAAAATAACTTTTCTCTTTCACTTGTGTGAATAATAAATAATAAAATAAATAAGAGACACTTTAACGTGTCTCATATTTATTTTATAACATTAACTAACATAAAGACTTATGCCGAAATGGTATCTTACATTGTATTCTCACACGTCCTTTCCCCTAATGAATGTTGAAATTTTGTAGTATTAATCTTCATTCAAGACGCTGGGCGGATGCGCGGGTCATTAGGCACGATGCCACTAATAAATACCATTACTATTACTATTACTATTACTACTATTACTATTACTATTACTACTATTATTATTATTACTATTACTATTATTATCACTCTTATTATTTATAATAATAATATTAAAAAAATTTATTAGATGCACAAGGTGCTGGCGATTTTCAATAGTACTAGTACTGGACACAGTACATACAATTATCTGTTCTCGCTCTTTTTACATTGTTCGGAGACATGCCCTTCTACGAAATTTAAAAGGGCAGTAAAATTGTTTACTTAACTAAACCACCGCAGTTTAGTCAACTCTTCTTATATTTATTGAAAAATAATTTAGTTTTAGATATGAAATAATAGATCTATAACAATAAATTCCACTAGCTTAAGTCGAGCTTAGTTATTTGTTTGTCAACTTTCATTATTTATGAATGAAAAAATCATGAAAAAGTTACAATTATTGTAATCGTTGATTATTAAATGCGGGTTATGCGCAACACAATTTTAATAGAATTGCTGCGTGGTCTCTTAAAAGTACCTTATTTTAATTAAACGGCTCAATACTTCGTCTCCTATGGGAATCTACCCACTGGAAATAACAATATACAATTTATATTTCATAAACTGTATTACGCCTATAGAATCCATTTTTAATTATAAAGTATTGTGCTCGAATTGCAGTTTACTTATCTAAATGTAAACACCCATTCTCACCCGCCTCGGTAGCGCAGTAGGCAGCGCGTAAGTCTCATAATCTTAAGGTCGTGAGTTCGATCCTCACCCGGGGCAAGGTTTTTATTCATTTAATCTTAAATGGTTCATCTCGGTACGCATTTATGTCAACATTCGAGAACGAAATTACCATCCACGAAAGTGAGAATTTGCCAGGAAAGTAATTTCGTCTTCGACTCTGCCGGTCAGTCTCAACAGCACTATGTGCCCTTGCAAATTGTGTAATAAAATGCTAATAGTTATTGTAAGGGTGGCTACTTGTACACATTAGAAAGCTTTGTTGCAATACGCTAAAATGAAAACAATATATTAACGAGACATTTTACTAATTATGGAATTTGAAAAATACGGACACATTGAGTGTTTACAGGGCCGAAGGTTTAAACAAATGAGAGTCTCAAGTAACTTTTCTTTTTCTCATATAGTTTTTAACAATATTCATGATAAGTTCTATAGTAACAATATTTTTTTATGTACTCTTTTGGTAAACAATTCAGAACTATATATTTTTACGTTTTTAGGACTATATTTATTAATTTAACATCAGAAACTCTTAAAAACTTTGTGATGTACAATGGGGAGAAGTGTATTCTGTGCTCGTTTTCTGAAATTCTGTGATCTCTAACTCACATACAAGTTGAATTCTGAATACAGATGGATATGAGCGTTTTTGGCAGGAATTGATAAGAAAATATTAGCTCTGTTGTAATAAACACTATTAGCAAAATTTAAGCAAACAATATAGTGTGGATCGCTGTACATCAGTTATATAAACATTTAAAACATTTTTCGCTCTGATGAGCCGAATAACACTACCATTAACACACTCTTCAGTTCGCTCCCTCCTTATGACTGATTAAGTCAATGTCAATGAAACGGAAAGAAAAAGTGGTGCGCATTACGCTCTCAAACAACAATGGTGAATGTGATCTATAGGTTTACAGCACTAACCAGTATTGAAGTAAAATACTCTGATGATTGTACAAATACATAAATGATCCATAGTTGCATCCTGAAATTGAGCTAATTGCAATGTTTGGTTCAACACATTACGAACAACTAGTCAACCAACAACCTCCTCCAATCCCACATTTGTGTACGAATATTCAACGCATATTACTTTCGGACAACTATTCTTTCTTTAGACATTTTTAAAACACTCCCACACTCCCACACTGTGCGTGGAACAGTCCTTAAACCATTTCTTTCTTAAATATTCATTTAAGGTTGTTCTATAATAAGGACATCCTTAAACCATTGTTATGATGTGAAACCACGTACACATCTTTTAAAAATATTATGTTCAATCGTACAATTTCGCAAGTATTTCGTTTACAATAATGATATACAAAGCAAATTGTAGACGACATGTCACATTTAATCTGCAAGCAAATAATATTATCCATAATTCAAAAGAATAACTTACGCTAACTATATTTGAATAAATAAAAAGAACGATCGTATTCATTCAAACCCTGAAACGTCGCCGTGGCCACATGTTAACACTTAAGAGCTCCCCAAGACCTTCTGGTTCTGTTTCTCCTCTTCGAACTTCCAGTTCTTCACAAGCGGGATCCTTGAAACCACTGAATGTTCTTCAACACAATCCTCCAGACCCTATTGACACAAGAAAAACTCCGATGCAAGATCGGTCCTTAGATATCTGCAGAACCGCTTAAGCCAATGGGGTGGTCTTCATTTCATAAATATCATATGATAAATGATATATTTTAAATGTAATATATGCAAGCACGCTTTGAATGTTTTGCAAGATATTGTGGACGGTTTGTGAGGCATGGTGAAAATTGTCATTGAAATTATATACGAAGTTTCATTAAAAATTGAATTGACGTGTCATCATTTTTTTATTTTAAAAAATGAATACATGCTACAACATTTGGGGTGAAGCTATATATGAGATATCTTACGCATTTCAACTTTGTTTATATTCACAGCGTGAATTAAAGTAACAGAGATTAATAACAATATTCGTGGATATTTGTAACTGCTAGGTGCTGGGTCATTTATTTCTGAAAATAACCTCGTGACATATGCTGTACCCAATCTCATTAAAGCAACTTGCAGCACGAAATATTTTGATATTCCTATTGCAGTGCTCGTAAAATCTACACGTTGCTTCAATCCCTGAAAAGATCCTCGTCACGCGCCAATGCTTATAATGCCCTCCGCGCATGAGCTGTCTGTGTGTATGTTGTTCCGTTTCTCCTCTTCACATCTCGCACCGCTTCGCACGAGAGGCTTGCAACCACTATTTAATGTCCTTCGTTGCAGTTGGGAACGTGAGTGGCTTGGCTGCTCTTGCTCCATCTGCCCCCGGCGGTGGTCCTTTGTGCTCAACATGCATTTTAATTTCTCTCTTTCTCTCTTTGATTGTAATTCGGTGGAATTATTCGAACAATAAAAATGTGCACTATTTTTTCTATTCGTTTCGCATTTTCTACAAGAGCTATTTACATAACATGATGCATTCCCCATCTTAAAGTAATTAGAGCTTCACTACCTCTACATCTGTCATGTTTATGGCAAAACAAGATTAAACAACCTGTCTTCAAAAATGTATGTATGTAGAATTATGCAGTAGATATAGTATATCTAGAACTAAGTATAGATTATAGGTTCATAATATAAGTTAGTTTAGTAAGCGTTCCCCTACACAAGATTGTAACCCTTATAGAAGCATTTAATTAATGTCTAGACGTCACGGATTTCAGAAAACGAAACGCATATTACAGTTCTAGAATACAATCAAGCAATAAGAAATGAACCCACTAATACATTTTACATTGTACATTTTACGACGGTTTCAGATTTGATTGAAAGAATCCCAAGATATTTATAATTTTTTATTTCTTCACGATATACAAAAGCTTAATATTTATAGAAAACTATCCGTTGAAGAAATTTATTGAAGCAAAATCATCATTGACATTTTGTCAAAGGCAGAAGTTCTTGGCGACCACTCAGTCACCCCATTTAATTCACGAATTACTCTAATCATAATCCCACTTTATTATAATTTACTTCTTTATTGTTTTACCTCTAACACACAATTTTTTTCTACAAGGTTTTCAGAGGGTTATATCCTCCGTGTACCCTCCGCCTCTAAATTAGCGTCTTGATACGCTCGAATACTCTACAGTATATTTTTAAAATTGCCACAGCATGCCAGGTCCTGTTAGTACTGGTTATTTTTTGTTTCTTTCATTTGCTACTGCTGGTTTTATTGCTATTCACGAAGGAAATGTACGGTTTTACCCTTCCATTTGTAGCATGCTACAACTTACGTGCATGTGTATGTTACAGGCCGCCGAGCGAGCGCCGACGCCTTACCACATGTCAGCATGCGCCTGGTGCTCTTCGCAGGTGAGTAGCATGCGAGTCGCATGCGAGTCGCATGCGAGTGCGGAGCGAGTGGACAAGCATTGCCTCGAGGGCTGCGACAGTAGTAACCAATGACATCGACTCGAAGTCCAGACTCTCGAGTGATTTGTGTTCTAGATAACTTTCCCACGTACACCGCCATCCAGTAAAACGGCGTTTTGCTAGGAAGAAAAAAACGACTACAGCGTATTGAACATTACTCGTGACAGAATATTGAACTTCAATTTAAATAGTTCATCAATAATATAAATATAATTTGAGGATATCTAACATTCGTAAATATTAAAAGTAATAGAATGTTTGTCCCATATGTATACACGATGTAGACAAAACGAAAAACAGAAAACGGATGGGGGGATAGAAGTACACTCTTGAACCCTGAAAAGTTTACAATTCGACAAAATTTACGAGCCAAAGCGCGTTTCTGTACCTGTTTTAATTGTAGTGCGTAACAGTTACAAGTTAGTTTTATGATTACTTTTCCGTTATTTTTTCGCTTAAGCGAAAAATTAAAAAATTGCTTATGCGATGTGTGAAAATAATAAACGAGGCTCGAAATGAAGATTAATTTTATCAATAGAAAGTAGAAATTAATTCACTTCTAGCAGGTGATATCAAACCTTTCCCTGACAAATCACGCCCTGCGATCAGGAGAAATCAACACTCAAATCCTTACACTGTTTGAAAACTAACCAAGGCGAGAAGAAACAATCGCCACAGTCAAAAACAAAACGCCCCTTCGAACAACCGCCAGGGACATCCAAAGGAGGAATGCGACATCGATATCGATCTATTATCATCGATTTATTCAAGCCGATATTTTTCCAACATCAATGTTTTGTGCTCGATGTTTTTACCTGGTTGATATTTAACTTTTGAATCAAAAATGGACCATCAAAATCCAAATCTACAATAATTTTCAAATATCCATAAATTAAGCACTCTAAAACAAATGTGACTAAAGGTAAAAAAAAATTAACTTAAATATTTTTCGTCGGTTTGTATTACTGTATTAATATTTATATTAAGTAACATATATTGTTGTACATATTAACCTTATATATGATTTTTTTTCATTTTTGGATTAAATAATCACTTAAAAATTTAGTTAATTGTCCTGGCCACCCTAATAGTTAATCTACCCCACGCGAACATTAATGGTTACTGAACCAGTTTTAAAAACATCGGTAGTTTTGAGGTGATGTTTCATTAAGATCCATATTTTAATTTTGAACACGGACGTAGAAAGTCAAAGTTTAAAAAAACATAGTGTTTCGGCGATGTAGCATCCCTAATACAAACGAGCGAGATGTGCAAAGTGCACGGTCGTGCGACGGGTGCGGCTTGCGAGGGGTGAAGTGGGAGAGAGGAGGGGGGAGGGCGGTGGAGGGGAACCGGGGAAAGCGCCAGCGGCCGCAGACCGGTCGCCGCGAAATTCGAGCCCTGGACTTCCCGGACAGGGCGGCGGCCCCGGCCGCCTCCGCTTTCGTGCACCGGCGAGCCGTTATTTATGTACAAATGTGAACTGTTTTGTTTGACAACGTACTCAATTAGATTACTGTTGAATTCGCTTTACGTTTACATATTAACGTTTACACAAACACATTTACTGCATAACATTACATTGCATACTCATTTCCAACCACATTCTAGGCGCGCATCCTTACAATTTCATTCTTCCTCTCTCTTCTCTCCTGTACACCACTATTCTAATTAGTAATTACCTTCAAATCATTCCTATACTAACCATCTCCTTTCCTTAAGCACGGAATCCTTATGTCTTCCTTCATTCCTTGTATCTGTCTAGCTTTATCAATTCCATACTCCTTGAAAATAAACTCAACTTTTTTAATTTGCATGCATATTCGATCGAGTCCACATAACACCTATAATCATCACATGTTCTCAGACTTACACTTCTCTCACTTTTCGCAATGCAGACCTCATTCCTTTTCCTACCCCTAGACCTGGCAATTTCAGTTCTTGTCTTTTGACTCCTGTAGCTCCTTTAAGTGGATTTTTACGCTTTCTTATGTCGAACGATTCTGGACTTTTTAGCTGGCGTGAGCATGTAGTTCTGGAGTTCAACACGCCCTACTGCGCCAGTGCACGTTCGTTAAAACTCCTGAAATTGTTCATTAAAAGGGATCCTGAAAATCAGGTCTTAAATATTCCGGCACATCCTGTTTAATCTGCATATATTTGAATTTCGTATTATAAGTTATTACCTAATCCTCTCAGTTTTTGATTAAGTAATGTATCGTATGCTTTGCAACTGAAGGGGGCGGGGCAACAACAACCGTCGTTACGCAGCTAGGTCAGCCACCTAGTGATCGTTGCGGTGTTTTCCGTTCCCTGTGAGATACGCACACATGATCAGGATGTGTACTGTGACGTGTAATCGTCTCCCTAGAGAGTTACACGTCCCCTGTTGGTAAAATATTAATTTCTCGTGGTCAGGGTAACAAATAACCCAGATTAGGAGCCTCGTTTATGATTTTCACATTTTGGAATGTCCAAAGCGAGAAATTCAAATCAAGAAAATTAGACAAGGTAACATTAGAGGGAGGATCCTTAGGAATCATTCAGATTGTGTTATGTAAGCGAATGTGTTCTTCGTTTCACTAATTTCCTTGCTTCATTCCGTTCCGGAGTTTTGCATGTCCACCACTGATGAACCACACTCGGCTCACGATGATGATTTGGCAGACTATATCAATCATACGAATACATCTGACTTAACAAATTATTGTTTTAAAAGTAACAATTATTTCATACTGGATCCCAACTTCCAACGGCCAGCGCCTGAACCGTGCTTTACAACACTATACTTTACAGCCATGTATTGTGAATAAGTAAATATTTTAATATTGCTAAGCGTCGAGATTAAATTGCACAAAAAATCAAATAGTCACTAATTTTATCGTGGAATATTATTTCTGTCTTCTCATTCAATTTAATTTTACATACATTTCGAGTTACTGCTCGTATCTGATCACCCATTCTATGAATCAGGGGTCCTCAGAAGAGCTAAATATCCAAACAGATAATAATTAATAGAAGGTTCAAAAAGGCCACATTTTTGAGAACATTGCTTAAAAAAATACAACTTGATCCCATCTGCTTCCGCCTATCCCCTACCCTAATACTTATATCCCTAACCAAGTCAACTGGCTCACAAAACGTTTGTCCGTTTTGGGACATGAAAACTTGATACCATGAGCGTAGGAAACATTCCGAGTTACAGCAATTATGTACAATATATGTACATTACAGTAATCTGTTCCCAATGCCATAATCTTCAAACTCACATATTTTTCGCCTTAAATCAGTTTGATACTGGAGAGGGTAGTAATTACTTGTACAACACTAGCATATTTACAAGGTTTTGTGTCGACGGTGTCATACAAATTGCAAAAAGGCGTCATTAATCCTAAACATATTAAGTGAAGCATGATGAAGGAGTAATTCGTGACATGAAATGGAGGGGCAACGGGAGTAGCCAGGGAAGAACTGCCTTAAACCCATTTTGTAGTCCTCAATTTTCCCAATACTCAACCAAGATGGGAACTGTGGTATCCAAAGTTAGGTAGGTAGTGCTGACCACGACGGGTCGCCGCTCAGGTGAGACCCGAACTCGCAACCACCCACTGCTTTCTCCTGAGTTGATTGATTTATTGTGCAAGCTATAAAAGCGTGCCAAGAGCCATATGTAGGGGCACATGACTGTGTTCCAATTAATATTAATGTCTGCACTTGTTCATCACAATCAATCGGCGCGCTGAAATGCATTCTCGCCTTACACTACGACTGGTGAATTCAATTAAAAGATCACGACTCCAGAAATGTGTCAATCACTTATTTCTTTTAATGGGACCGTAACTTTTGGAAGTTACCAATCGTTTGTCCTCGATTTTCTTTTTCGTTTGTTATGTAATATGGTTTGAACAATCAAGCACCTGCAATATCAATGCCATATTCGTTTTCCTCACGTATGTGTCCAAAATATGAGGACAATATATTTTTGGATAAACGACTTCTATATTGCTTATCTACAAAGAATGCCTTTTTTGTTGTTTTTTTTTTCAATGTTATTTCCACGAAAAGTATAATAAAACAAAATAATTTCAGATATCGTACCCTTTCTCTAAACAGTCGGTTTTCTTGTGTATTTTCAGTGGCAGTGACTGTTTAATTGGTCCTACAGTAACAACTGAAAGACGGAAACTTTATGCAGTAGAGCAGGATATCGTATTTAGACGTTTTGAATTTTTTTTAAATAATGTAAAAGGAAACATTATACTACGCAATGGCGACTGCACGCAAAATACTAGACAGTATCTGATAAAGCATAGATTGATGGAATGTAGATAACGCAGGCATCAGAAGGAAACGTATTAATATTTTAATTTTCTGGTGAACTCTGAAATAGCTTTCAGCTTGAATAAGCTTGTACAGCAACGCAGATGGATCTGTCTTTGAGGGGCTTCGTTATAAAAGCGCGTCGGTGAGAAGGACGCGCTGGGCGTCGCGGGAACGGAACGAGTGGGGGAGAGGGTAGCTGCTCGGGCGCGTGGCCAGGTGGGGCGGGCAGAGAGTAGCGTGGGCGGATAATAGGAGGACTAACTGGGCGACGGGGGTGGGGACGTGCAGGCGATGTAGGTAGGCACGTAGGACCGGGCAAGGGTGAGCACTGCCGGCAGGATGAGGCAGACAGGCGGGGGTGGGCAAGTGCAGGAGGAGGCGGCGAAGATATTTTGCGTCGGCGGCTGTGGAGGTGTTCAGCGAGAGCGGCGGGGCGGGCAGCTTGGTCGGTGGAAGTGGGGAGTAGGCGGGCGGGTACTGGCGGGAGCGAGCGGTGCGGGCGGGTAATGGCGGGAGCGAGCGAGGTGCGGGCGGGTGCGGGCGGTGGCGGGCCGGCGAGCGAGGGCGTGGGCGGCATAGGCGAGCGAAGGGCGAATCGGAAGGTGCTCGCGGGGTGGGCGGGGGCTGGCAAGGGCTGGCAGGCGGGAAAACAAATAACGGCAAGGGAGAGAGTGGGCGGAAGGGGGGTCGATCAGGGTTAGGCGGGCGGGTGCAGGGTGGTGGGCGAGCTCGGTTGGCCGGGCCGGGCCGGGGGCGGGCGCGTCGGCCGCCGCCACGCCGCGACGCGCCAACCGCC